CCAATGATGTTATTGTGGCTCTCCCCGCCGTAAAACCATAAGGCACCGTAATACTTCTTTGAAAACTGCCATTCCCTCCTACCCTGCCCACCCCCACCCCCAGCCCCACCCCCTCTTTCAAAAAAAAAAAAAAAAAATCTTTAAAAAAAATCTGGCCACTCCCACCCCTCTTTCAAAAAGAAGAAGAAAACAGGGTGATATTTAAGAAAACAGGGTACAGGTAACGCAATTAATTCCCATTTTTTTTTGGGGGGGGGGAGGAGGGGAGAGACCCATTCTCTCCCCCCCCCACCCACCCACCGACCCCCCCTCCCCCCTGCTTGTTTTCCACCTCGCCCTGGCCACGACGTCTTGCCCAGCGTCAACATTATGCAAGGAGGAGGATTTCGGGTCCGAGCAACAGTGCTGGGAGGAAGCGCAGTTGCCGGTTCGTGCGATTGCGTCCGATATTTTTGCCCCTCTTTTGTTTCCCCTTGCGCTGCGTGAGAGGAAAAGGAGGGGAAGAAGAGAGAAGAAGGAGAGGAGAGAGGGAGAATGGGGGAGAGTTGGAATGGAGAGAGGGGAGAATAAAGAAGGAATGAGAATAAGTGAGGAATGAGGGAAGAAGAGAGAGGGGAGAATGGGGAGAGTTGGAATGGAGAGAGGGAGAAATAAGGGAAGGAATGAGGGAGTGGAATGAGGGAAGAAGAGAGATGGAGAATGGGGGAGAGTTGAATGTGGGAATGGAGAGAGGGGAGAATAAGGGAAGGAATGAGGGAATAAGTGAGGAATGAGGGAGGAAGAGGAGAGGGGAGAATGGGGAAGAGTTGGAATGGAGAGAGGGGAGAATAAGGGAAGGAATGAGGGAATAAGTGAGGAATGAGGAGGAAGAGAAGAGAGGAGAATGGGAAGAGTGGAATGGAGAGAGGGGGGAAATAAGGAAGGATGAGAATAATGAGGAATGAGGAGAAGGGAAGGGGAAATGGGGAAGTGGGAATGGTGGAAGGGGGGGGGGTAATAATGAAGAAATGAGGAATGAGGGAAATAAAGAGGGGTGCGAAGAAGGGAGGAAGAGGAGAAGGGAGAATGGGGAGAGTGGAATGGAGGAGGGGAATAAGGAAGGATCACGAAAAAATGAGGAATTAGGGAAATAATGAGGTATGCAAAGAAGTGAGGGGGAGGAGAAGGGATAATGGAGAGTGGGAATGGAGGGACGGAAGAATAATGAAAGGAAATGAGGAATGAGGAAATAATGAGACTATAATGAGTCTATAATCATTGAGTATGACCTCCGAACAGATGTCATAATTGACATAATATCTATCCGTCATAGAAGCAGGCGAGGGAATGTTGTTTATACATATATACGTGTATATATGTATGCATATGCTTGTAACCTTAGATTCCGACGAAGATAACAATAATACAAGTAAAAGTACAACCCTTCACTTGTGCTCCTGAACCAAAACCTAAAAAAAAGAAAGAAAAAAAAATGCATATACATAAGATGCCCCATTTCGCGTTTGCAGTCTGTTTCTTTTTCGTTTTTTTTCATAGCATGAAAATCGGAACAAATGGTCAGATATTAAATACGTTGAAGTTTGTCTTGTCTTTTTTCACACACACACACGACACACACACACACACACACACACACACACACACACACACACACACACACACACACACACACACACACACACACACACACACACACACACACACACACCACACACACACACACACACACACACACACACACACACACACACACACACACACACACACACACACACACAACACACACACACACACAAAACAGAAAAACAAAATAATAAAAAAATAAATTACTGATTTCTCCTCCCCCCAGGTTCACCATCATCGACACCGTGCTCGTGAACCGCGCCGAGGACGACCTCGGAGTGATAGCCGACAGCGAGGCCCGAATCATGCTGCTCTACTCCACCCGCATGGAGGCCGCGTCCATCATGAGGGCGGCGGAGCGGCTGGGTCTCACGGGCAAGAATTACGTGTGGATCGTCACCCAGTCGGTTGTCGGGCCCGATATCCACGCCCCGTCGGCTTTTCCTGTCGGGATGCTCGGTGAGTTGTGTCGGCTTCCTAGTCCTGTTCTTCATCGTCTTCTTCTTCTCTTTTTTTCTCTTTTTTGTTGTTTTAGTTTTTCATTTTTTTTCCTGTCTTTATTTACTTTTTTATTTATTAGTATCTTTGCTCTTGTTCATGTTCTTTTTTTCTTTTCTTTTTTGTTGTTTTACTTTTCATCTCTTTTCCTATCATTATCAACTTTTTTTTTTATTTGTTAGTATTATTGCACGAGAGAACCATGGTTTGTTTACAAGTGTGATCGTTCTTTGTTTGTTTTCATTTTATTTATCTTGAAATTACAAAGGTAAGTGACTTTTTATTGCTGTGTCATCTCTCTTTTTTTTTTTACTTTTGTCTTTTTTTTATTTTTGTCTTACCGATTTGTATGTCGAACGTCTAACTCTTTAGTGTGTATTATCAGTTATATATGGAAATATATACTCTTCTGTAACCTTATACGGTCTTAGTAGAGAGTAATAGATAGATAGATAGATAGATAGATAGATAGATAGATAGATAGATAGATAGATAGATAGATAGAGATAAACAGATAGATAGATAGATAGATAGATAGATAGAGGTAGATAGAGAAGAGCGAGACACAAAGACACGGAAAGAACGAGAGACATGTTGAAGACCCCATAACGAAAGACAGCGAGTCTCACAAAAAAAAAGTAAAGAAAGACAGACTACGGAAAAAAGCGAAAGAGAAAAGAAAGACACGTGATGGATCCACAAATCCCCGCGGTCCCTTTGTGCACCGAGCTACCGGGAGACGCCAACAGATGGCACTGGGACCCGCCATATTTCTCCTTTGTGCACGCGCCACCCGATGTCAAGAGATTCCCGACTGCATTGTTCCAGCGTGCAATCTCCGCTCCGCATGACTGGGACCGCCGCGCGCTGGCGGGACACTGAACGCGATCGGAAATGACGTCGAGATGGCCGAGGCTGGGCTGTCTGTCACGTGACGCGTCTCGCTGCTCCGCCCGGGAACGATAAAGGTCCTTGGGGGGGGGGAGGCATGAAGATGGGGGGGTGGGGGTAGAAAAGGGGATTGAGAAGGTGAGGTGGGGGTGGAGGAAGATGGGGGGGGTGGGGGGGGTAAAGGGTTGAGAAGGTAAGGTTGGGGGGGGAGGAGGAAGATGGTGGGGGGGGGTTAAATGGGATTGAGAAGGTAAGGTTGGGGGATGGGGGGAGTTGAAGGGGATTGAGGTTAAGGTTTGGGGGGGGGAGATGGGGGGTTGAAAGGATTGAGAAGTAAGGTTTGGGGTGGGAGATGGGGGGGGGGGTGAAAGGGGATTGAGAAGGTAAGGTTTGGGGTGGGGAGATGGGGGGGGTTGGGATTGAGAAGGGGTTTGGTGAAAGGGGATTGAGAAGTAAGGTGGGAGGAAGAGAAGTAGGAGGAATGGGGGGTTTATATGTTCTTTTGGGGAGAGGTAAGGAGAGGGAATAGAGGGAAGAGAGAGGAGGGGGGAGGTAAGGGTAATGTCGGGAGGGGGAGAGGGAGTGGGTGATGATGGAGGGTCTTTGGGAAAGAGGGGGAGGAGGTAAGAGGTAAGTTCCGGGGAAGAGTGGTAGAAGAAGTCGGGAGAGAGAGAGAGAGAGAGAGAGAAGAGAGAGAGAGAGAGAGAGAGAGAGAGAGAGAGAGAGAAGAGAGAGAGAGAGAGAGAGAGAGAGAGAGAGAGAGAGAGAGGAAAAGGGAGAGAGAGAGGTTATGGGGGGATACGGGGAAGGGATGGGGAGAGAGGGAAAGGGAAGAAGAGGGGAGGGGAGACAGAGGAGGAGGAGGAGGAGAAGAGGGAGGGGAAACGAAAGAAAAAGTGAAGAGGAGGAGGGAGGGGAAAAGGAAGGTGGGAAAGACAAGAAGAAATATAGAAAGGAGGAGGGAGGAAAGGATGAGAAGAATAGGAAAGCGAAATGGGAAGTGGAGGGGAGAGAGGGGAAGAGGAGGAGGGAGAGACGAATGATAAAAGAGAGCGAGAAGAAAGGATATCCCGAGTAACGAATAGCTCCTTGGTTCGGCAAATAGAAAGGTGTACAGATTTATAGGCACAGAGAGGAATACGTAATAAGATAACGGGAGATTAAAGAGGGGCAGCGAAGGATAAAATAAGGGAATATATGGAGATGAATAACTAGATAAAGAGAGAGACAGAGACAGACAGAGACAGAGAGCACAGAGACAGAGACAGAGACACAGAGACAGAGACAGAGACACACAGGAGACACAGAGACAGAGAGACACAGAGACACAGAGACACAGAGACACAGAGACAGAGAGACAGGAGACAGAGAGACACAGAGATACAGAGACAGGGACAGAGACACAGACATAGAAAACACAGAGAGAGGAGAGAGAGACACAGAGAAAACAGAAAGAGACACAGAGAGGGAGAGAGACAGAGAGAAAGAGAAAAAGAGACAGACAGACAGACAGAGACAGACAGAGACAGCGAGAGGAAAATCAACCAGACTGAAAGAAAGAAGAAAAAAAGGAGACAGACCGTAATAAAAGGAAATAACGCTCCCATCCCTTGACGTAAATATCCTTTTATGAAAACACAAGTGAGCGATAATTACGACATTCCCTCATATTATAGATCACAAACCCAGACATCATCAGAAAAAAAAAAAAAAAAAAAAAAAAAATCGCTGTAATGTCACAAATCATCGTACCAATACCAACCAACAAAAAACAACAAAAAAAAGAAACAAATAAAAAATAAAATAAAACAAAAGTTGATAAAAAATAAAAAATAAAAAAATAAAAATCTCGGTACAAGATCCACGAGAGTTGATAGAAAAAAATAAAGAAATTCTCTCTAATATTGCAAGGCCTTAGTCACGTCGCGGCCGGCATGGAGCAAGGCGCTGAACGTCGACAGGTTCTCATTTGAAGATTGCCAACAACGATCATCGGACGCGGCATAAAACTGCATATTGCACTCGCATTGCAATGAAGCTCGAGTTTCCCCTTTGCATTGGCATTCCGACCTCTGTTGTCCGCTTGAGGGAGGGAGGATAGGGGGGGGGGTTGAGGGGAGAGGGGTTGAGGAGGGAAGGGAAGAGGGAAAAGAGGGGGAAGGGAAGGGGGGTTGGAGGGAAGGAGATGGGGAAGAGGGGAGGGGGGAAGGAGAGGGGGGAGGGAGGGGGAGGGGGGGAGTTGGGGGGGAGGGTTAAGGTGGTGGGGAGGACGGAAAGGGGGAGTGAGGGGTGGGGGAGGGGGGGTTGAGAGCGATATAAATGATAAAATTGATATGAATAAAACATGTTGCAAGGTGTGGGAAGGTGGGGGGGGGGGGAGTGGGGAGAGAGAGAGAGAAGAGAGAGCGAGGGAAGAGAGAGAGAGCGAGAGACCAAGAGAGAGAGCGAGAGAGACAGAGACCGAGAGACCGAGAGAGAGACCGAGAGCGTGAGAGAGAGACCGAACGAGAGCGAGAGCGAGAAACCGAGGAGAGAGAGAGAGAGAGAGACCGAGACCGAGAGAGAGAGCGAGAGAGAGGATCACCCACAATGGAAGGTTCTCACGCGAGAGGTTTGGCCGTAAGCGGAAATCCATATGCCACGTTTTGCAGCGAAAGAATGCGAGTTGGCGCATTGGGACCCGATTATGCAAACTGTCACGCTGTCCCGGATGCGGATGTGCGGATTCTGGAACTTATGCAGATTTTGTTGTTGTTTGTTTGTTTGCATGTCTGTCACTTTTTCAGTTTGTATTTCCCTTGGCTTTCGTCTCTTGCTTGAAGTAATATATATATATATATATATATATATATATATATATATATATATATATATATATATATATATATATATATATATATATATATATATATATTGCGTATTTTTGTGTGTGTATGAATGAACGTATACACATCTTTCTAAATGCAGATGTCTGTGTATGTCTGTCTATATACATGTCTGTTTTTTTCCCATCATATCATTCAGTTAACTTTCTGGCCATGAAATTCGATCGCACATTTCTCTCTCTCTTCCTTTCTATGTATTTATCTATGTACCTGGCTTTCCGTTTCCACCATTTTCACCGTCTCATTATATTATACTTCGCAGTTTTTCTCAATCAATAGAACACTAAACAGGCAATAAACACGGAGAACAGAAGGAATAGAGAAAGGAAATCGCTCAACATAGGTATTAAAAATAGCAGCAGAACAAAAGGGATTTAGAAAATCGAGATTCTTGACGAAAAAATTATTTCCCTCGTCAAAAAGGAAGAGAGAGAGAGAGAGAGAGAGAGAGAGAGAGAGAGAAGAGAGAGAGAGAGAGAGAGAGAGAGAGAGAGAGAGAGAGAGAGAGAGAGAGAGAGGGATACGGGAAGAAGGGGAGAAAGAAGGAGAAACAGAGAGGAAGAGAGAGACGGAGAGGGAGAGGGAGAGGGAAAGATAGATAGACAGGGATAGGGAGAGGGAGAGAAAAAAGTAAGAGCAAGAGGGAGAGCCAGCAGACCGAGAAAAAGACAGAGACAGGTAGAAAGAGAAAAGAGGAGAGAGAGACAGACGAGAAAAGAAAAGTAATATTGACAACCAGCCTAAAAAAAAAACAGAGGAACAAAAGAACACATAGACAAAGATTCGAACAAAGAAAGAAAGAAAAAAGGATTCAAGGGAGAGTAAAAAACAGAGGAGACGAAACAACAAAGAAAGAAAGAAAGAAAAGATTCAAGAAAGAATTAAAAAAAAGAGACGAAACAACAAAAAGAAAGGGAAAAAGGGAGGAAAAGAAAACCTAGAAAAAAATCAGACAATCGGAAAGAGTAGCCAAAAGAGACCGCCCATAGAGTGACCCCGCCCCCCCCTCAAAAAAAAAAAAAAAAAAAAAAAGGCTCACTCGTAGAATTGTTGTCGTTAGGCCTGGATCGTCGCCAATGTTCCAGAACCTGATGGAAGAACTGGAACCTCTTGGGATGTGTTGGAGAAACGGAAACGGCATTAGTCCTCTATGGCCGCCCCTCAACTTTGGAGTCTCTCTCTCTCCCTCTTTCGTTTCTCGTATCTTGGGTTTCTCTCTTCGCTGTTTGTTTGTCTGTTTTGTCTTTTTGGATGCATTTGTGTCTTTGTCTTTTTATGTATATGGTTTGTCTGTGTCTCTCTTCGCTTTCTTGTCTCTCTTGTCTCTCTCTCCTCTCTCTCTCTCTCTCTCTCTCTCTCTCTCTCTCTCTCTCTCTCTCTCTCTCTCTCTCTCTCTCTCTCTCTCTCTCTGTCCTGTCTCTGTCTTTCTCTCTCTCTCTCTCTCTCTCCTCTCTCTTCTCTCTCTCTCTCTCTCTCTCTCTCTCTCTCTCTCTCTCTCTCTTCTCTCTCTCTCTCTCTCTCTCTCCCTCTCCCTCCCTCCCTCCCTCCCTCTCCTCTCTCTCCTTCTCTCTCTCTCTCTCTCTCTCTCTCTCTCTCTCTCTCTCTCTCTCTCTCTCTCTCTCTCTCTCCCCCTCCCTCCCTCCCTCCCTCTCTCTCTCCTTCTCCCTCCCCCCCCTTCTCTTCTCTCTCTCCTCCCTTTCTCTCGTTTTCTTCCTCACTTTCTATCTCTCGCTTTCTCTCCCCCTTTCCCCTCCCTCTTTCATTACTCCTACCTCAACTTCTATTCCCATCACATAGTACTTTCTGCTTAAATATCCCCATTATTCTTTTCTCCACCCCCGCCACCACAATAATTCCCTTTAACAAATCGATAATATTCTCCGGAGCCATTTCGACACCGTCCAGAACCACTCAGCCGAAGCATCCCTTACTCGACCTCGCATTAAACCAACCCCCTTAACTCTCAACCTTATAGAGCCATGATAAAACTTCGTATGATAATGCTTCTCTGTTCTGAACCCATAGAGCGATAATAGAACCTCGCATGGTAATGATAGTCATCTCTAAAACCCACAGAGCCATGGTAAGATCTCCCGTGATAACGAAACAGCTCTAGACCTACAGAGCGGTAATAGAACCTCTCACATAATAACGCTACTCTACTCTGAACCCTCTGAACCCACAGAACCATGATAACCTCGCTAACGCAGCTCTGAACGCACACAGCGATAATAGAACCTCTCATAATACAAACAGCTCTGAACGCACACAGCGATAATAGAACCTCTAAATAATAACGCTACTCTGCTCTCAACCCACAGAACCATGATAAAACCTCACATGATATCGATACTCAGATCTAAACCCACAGAGCTACAGAGAACCCCGCATGGTACCGGTACACAGCTCTGAACCCACAGAGGACAATAACCTCTCACATAACAACACCACTCTACTCTAAACCTACAGAGCAATAATAGAACCTCACATAATAACACTACTCTACTCTAAACCCACAGAGGAAATAATAAAACCTCACATATTAAATACCACTCTACTCTAAACCTACAGAGCAATAATAGAACCTGACATATTAACACCACTCTACTCTAACCACAGGGCAATAATAGAACCTCACATATTAACACCACTCTACTCTAAACCTACAGAGCAATAATAGAACCTCACATAACGCTACTCTGTTTTGAACCCACAAAGGGATAACTGAACCTCTCACACGATAGCAACTCATTTACATTTCAGAAGTCGGAGTTACAGAAACCCGAATAAATTTTCCTATAGAACTTTTGGAACAACGGGCTGCTATGTATGGATCTTCCTAACATAATTAGCTATTTATAGGGTCTATTAATTACACTTAATTGCTATAAAATGAGGGTAATATACTGTATGGGAAGGGGAATTTATAGAGGGTATTTGTGGACATTGTGTGTAGATATTATCATAAGAGAGAAATATAGTTTTAATTATATTTACTCTCTGACTTCGACATTGTACTTGTTTGTATTGCGACAGTCTGCGCGCAATTTAGGTTTTTAATGTATAACTTAATTTGAATAGGGATTGTTAATGTGAAAAAGGGAAAAGATACATAAAATAATCAATTGCCGTAATTAAATGCAACAGCGGCGAGAAATATGCAAAACCATTAGTTTTGAATAATTACTTGTTTTGGCAACGGAAATCTCGCTAAATATTGAGTAACATGATATAATTTGCTTTTCGAAGGGTTTGAATTAAGTTGATGAAGATGATGATGAAGAAACAAAGAAAGAGAGAAAAATTCGCAATAATTGTCGCCCATAAATCCAAAGTCCGCAAACAGTCGTATAATAGCGCATATTAGTAGCTCGTTAGCATACGTTTGCCTTGAGCAAATTAAGTACAATATACGGGTCCAAATTATCATAAATTTACCTGCTGTTCTCGCGATGCTCCTCCGGGATACAGCTTTCGAAGCCGGTAGACTGAGAGAGAGAGGGGGGTGGATATAGGGAGAGGGGGATGAGAGACAGAGAGAGAGACGGGCGGGGAGGAGACAGAGAGAGAGGGGGGGAGACAAAGAGAGAGAGAGAAGAGGAGACAGACAAACAGACAGACACACACACACGCCATACACACACACACACACACACACACACACACACACACACACGCAACACACACACTCGCGCACAACACACACAGCACACACAGACACACCACAACACACAACACACACACACACACACAACACACACAACACACACACACCACACACCACACACACACACACACCACACACACACACACACACACACACACACACACACACACACACACACACACACACACACACATACACACACACACACACACACACATACAACCACACACACAACACACACACACAACACAGAGATGAGCCGAGAGTTCGAGAGAGAGGAGAGACGAGAGGAGGAGAGAGACGAGAGACAGAGAGGACAGAGAGACAGAGGAGGGAGAGGGGATAGAAAGAGAGAGAGCGAAGGGAAGAGACAGAGACAGCGAGAGTCAGCGAGACACATGTTAATCATCACAGGACGCAGCACAAATGCCTTAATGAATGAACACCAGATTAATTCCCCGAACAGGGATAACCATCACGGAAATCAATCAATGAACACGTTCTGAACACGTTCCTCATCCGCACACAAACACCTCTTAAATACATTAGAATTGCGGAACAAGAAGGTGTTAACCCACGGAGGCGAAGTGGTCGGTCACCCCGTTATATCCAAGTGCAGAAAAGGCTTAACCGACCGCCCATAGTACTGTGCTGGGAATAATCTCATTTAATTGTGGGAATTCACGCTGGAGGGATAACTTCAGAAATTCAATGGATGTTTGTCTTGACATTGTTATTGATAAATTGTATTCTGTGGGAGCAATTAGTTTACAGGATGGGTGGATTGTGTTAAATGCGTTAGTTTATATTCAAGAAAGTGTATTTGATAGTTTATACACAGGAGAGTGTATTTGATGATTTATATACAGGAGTGTGTATATTTGATGGTCTATATACTGGAGTGTGTGTCTGAAAGTTCTTATTTTAGTTGTTATCCACTTTTTTATTTGTTTGTTTGTTTTATTTTTTTTTATTTGTTTTTTTTTTAGATTTTGCGAAGATTTAAAAGATATTTTGCGGTGTTGCAAGATGGATGGCGCAGGTGTGTGGGGGTGTGGGAGGGAGGGGGAGGGGGAGGGCCACGAATCATTAGGGATTGGGAGTTTTGCCTGATGTTTATAGATAAACAAATAAATAGATAAATGTATCTATATCATTTATCTTCTATCTATATGTGTTTGTGTGTGTGTGAGTGAGTGAGTGAGTGAGTGAGTGATGAGTGTGTGTGTGTGTGTGTGTGTGTGTGTGTGTGTGTGTGTGTGTGTGTGTGTGTGTGTATGTATATATGTATGTCTGTGTGAATGTATATGTATATATGCGTCCACCCCCCCCCCCCCAAAATCCGACCCGACCGACAGAGCTCCCCAAAGGCAACTCACCCCCCCCCCCCCCTCTCCCGAAACCGGAAACCGCGCCCATATCGAAGAAGACGAATGCGATTCCTGCCTTGCAATTGATCGTACAATTGATCGTAAGTGCAATTGATCGTACCAAGTTGCAATTGTCCGCGCGTTGATCTGATTAATTCCTCGATCTGCGAACCCGGGGACCAGATGCGAGTGTCTCTGCGAGGAAGAAAATGGATAGATAGTCGATAGATAAGGGGTGTGTGTGGGGGGGATGGGGAGGATAGGGGAAGATGGTGACCCTTTGAGGAAGAAGGGAGGGAGGGGAGGGGTCGAGGATGGGGGGCTAGGGAGAGGAGAGGGAGGAGGAAGGAGAGAGGTAGGGGAGGAGATGAGAGAGAGAGAGAGAGAGAGAGAGAGAGAGAGAGAGAGAGAGAGGAGAGAGAGAGACGAGACGAAGAGACAAAGAGAGAGAGAGAGAGAGAGAGAGAGAGAGAGAGAGAGGGAATAAGGGAGAAAGGGGGTTAGGAGAGAGGGAAGAAATGGAGAAATGGAAAGGGAAGTTGATGAGGGGAGAGAGGGAGGAATAGAAAGGAAAGATGAAGAGGAGAGAGAGAAGATTGAAAGAGGGAAAGGATATATAGCGATAGCGAAAAGGTGGGGGCCGGGGGGGGGAGAGGAGGTTATAGAAGGAGGGAAGAGATGAGGAGAGAAGGAGAAACGGAAAAGGAGATAGAGAAAGTGAGAGAACAGGAACAAAAATGGGGTGCTGGAGAGGGGAAAGAAGAATGAAATCGGAGAAAGGGATAAAGAGAGAAAGAAAGAAAGAAGAGACAGAGAAGAGAGATAGAGAGGAACGAAGTGGGGAGAAAGAGGCTGGAGAGATGAAAGAAAAGGAGAATGGGGGAAAGAGGCATAAAGAGAAGAGGAATGAAAAATGAAAAGGGGACAAGGGAAGAGAGAGAAAGAGGGGAAAGGTCGGCAAATGGTAATTGCTGTGATCGCCAGGGACTAAATTACCTGCAAACCGGAATGAGCTATTAATTACCTGAAAAGGGGAGAGGAAAGAGGGGTAGAAGAGAGAGAAGGAAGAGAGGGGGAGAGAAGGAGAGGGGGAAGAGGGGCAGAGGGAGGTAAGGAAGGTATCATATTTATGTAGCACCACAAACACACAGCACGACACACACATGACACACGCACGCACACACGCACAGCACACAACGCACAACACACAGTGACGCGTGCCCGCACACACACACTACACGCGCAACACAGAGGCCGCGCACAAATCCGCCGCGGTGATACACACGCGCACACACACGCGGCACCACACACGCGCACACACACACACCACACACACACACACACATGCCCACACACACACACCACACACACACACACACACACGCACACAACGCAAATGCGCGAGTCACGCACCGCACGCGCACGGGCAACAGCACCGGTCACGGCAACGCACGCACGGCAGCACACACATCGACAACCACACACGACACACGACATCACACACACAGTACGCACACACACAGCAGCACATCACGTGTAAGTGTGCACACACACACGGCGTCCGCACACACACACACAACACACACAGGCACACAACAACGCGCATTACACATCAACACATTCACACACACACACAGACACACACACACACACCCACACACACACACACATGCACACCACAACACACACACGACACACACACACACACACACGCATAGCACACACATCGGATCACACACACCGCACAGGTCCTCACACAGCACACATAAGATAAGAAAAAGAAATGAACAATGAATAAATAAATACAAGCACACAGCAAGCATAGCGAAATGTGGTAATGTATGTATATATATATACTATAATATATTACTATATATATATATAGTATATATATATAATAATATATGATAATATAAATACAGTATATAATATATATATGATATATATATATATAGTATATATATAATATATATATATACATATATTATGTATTGTTATATATATATAATATATTAAGTAATATACATGATATAATATATATATATATATATATATATATAGTATATATATAATTATAATAGTATATATATATAATATATATATGGTATATATATTATGTAATATATATATGTATATATATATATATATATATATATCTATTGAGAGATGTTGGCGTGGATCGTCTGGGAATGTCTAATACGGGCTATAGTATGATTATGACGTATGCGATGATAAGTGAGTGTTTTGTTTGTCGAGGTAGTGATTATATGATGGGTCCGCTATAGTAGGATATGAGTGATTTCTGATTAGTGTGTGTCGGTGGATGTAGAGTAGTTTGATGAAGTGTGTGGTAGTTGTCAGTGTAGCGGCGTATAGAGTTGTTAGTATGAATAGATGTAGTTAGTTAGTTATTGTTGTGAGGTA